TTTATCTTGTGCCATTGCATTAATTGGCCCTGTTCCTGTTTTTGAATAAATTAACAGTGCCAAAACGATGTACCATCAGAATATAGCGCCCCCTGCGGCCTGATTAATATTATTGTGGTGCACACATAAAAGAAATCCTATAAAACTATTGACTTACAGGTTTCAGCTTTATATTTACCAAGACACATGTAGTAAAATTCAACAATGTTAATTATTACAAGAATTAAGAATACAAGAAACAGTAAGCTATGTACATGGGTGAAAATGCAAATAATGTGACTAACCACAACAGACCACAAACTAAAAAACCACAGCGCAGAGGAGGGAAATCCAGAGTCCAGGTACTTGTGCAGAGAGTCCAGTGTGAAGCAGGTCAAAGTGAGCAAGGACGAGGGAACGTGGGGAGGGGTGGAGCTGATGAAGCTGAGCATGACTGAGGAGGCAAATCAAGTCGGGAAAACGCTGTGTGACTTTAAAAATGCTAGTTAGATTCAAACTCGCACAGTAGCTTTGGCTATTTTGCAGAAAAGAGTTGATTACTGTGCTGTAAGAACCCCCCTTTCTCTCTATTTATTTTTCACTTTCACTGCATTTTGTCCATTTACACAGACGCAGTGAGACGACCGACCCAAAAGAAGACAAGTTGTCCATCTTTATAAAAAACGTACACTTTTTTATAAAGATGGACGACTTGTCTTCACTTCCTCCCACGAAGGATTAAGCCAAAATGTCTTCAATACAAAAGCTGCCATCTTGCATTGAAGATGTCATCCGGGGCCATAGTCTGCAAAGTTACAGTCGGGGGAAGGAGCCAAAGTTATTTCACTTCTTTGTTTTGTCCATATTCTATCCACTAACATGGAGGAGGCAGGGTGTTACTCTTCATATTAGACTGAATATATTACATGTTTTTATTGGATTTGCTGCAGTAATAGCTTGATGTTTTTTTTAATATGGATTTATTTTCCTTGACAGTTCAGCCTATGAATCCCCTCTTCTTCACTGTGGAAGAAAAACAAACATGTGGTCAACTACACCATCATCATCATCATCATCATCATCATCATCATCATCATCATCATCATCATCTTCATCATCATCAGGCTCCCATGTTTTCTTACCTTTCTCAGTGACAGTGTACATGGCCTCCATACCAGCTTTAATGTGATCATTGACGTGACAGTGGAGCAGCCAGCTACCAGGAATCTCAGGACGCATCTTGACTGTCTGCAGGTGAGAGAGATGAGAACATGATCCACTGGTCCAGAGTTTCTAACATAGTTCAACATAGCTGTCACACCAGAGCGGAGCGTCTCCATATCCTGTCGTTTTTAATGAACGATGACATTGTTCATTTTGTTGGACCGTCGGTTAAAATCAAATACTTTTTTCAGATATTTTCTTTTCAATTGGTTTTAAAGACGACGTTTTTTAGGCTGCGTAATGTTATTGTACTTAATATTTACTCATTTGTATTGTTTAGCCCCGAAAGTCCAGAGAATTTTATATATTTGCAAAAGATAAATTAATGTGTTTTAAAGACTTAATTTTATTTTCACCTTATAACATAATGTTAAATGAAATTCTATCTGCTCTTGAACGGAGACACATGATTTTCATCAGCAGGAGTAATTTGACAAATATTTATGTTATTCATCTTGTGCTCAAGATAAAAAAAACTGATCACCTGACTTTAGAAGCTTGTCAATTCAAGTTGATGAAAACTTTATTGAAAGTGTATCTGTATCAAAACACAGTATTTTCTATTGTTTATGTCTTCCTTGTTTGCTCTCTGTAGCAGTTTGCATTAACTTATCTTACCTGTTGGTTTTGTTGTATTTTTGACAAAAAACATGTTAGTAACTGTAAACAAAGATCCCTAAAAGCTATTTGTTGATGCTAAAATGCAAAATGCAACTTCTTTTAGTTCAGCAACAAAGACAAAAGGAGTTTTTATAGAAAGTTGCTCAGGTGAAGAGGTTTTACCTGGAATGTTGCTGGAAACAACTGGAACACATCAGTGGTGTGAGGACCTCCGCCCAACTGCAGAGAGAAGACGATTATCACATCAGCTTTGCGTTTGTAAACTGTGATTGTGTTGGCGTGTCTTGTGTTTTTCATCACCTTGTATTGCACACTATGTCCGTGCCAGTGTACTGTGTGTATGTCCACCTCACTGCCCATTCCAATCAGGTACCAGTACACCTTATCCCCCACCTCCATGTTCAAACCATTCAGGTTACCGTACACGTAGCCATTAATGGCTGCAAGAAAACACAAACACAAAATATATATTTTTGTTGTAAATGAAGCAAGAAAAAATGCCCCCCCACCCGTTAAAATAACATGTTTGATTTTACATGTATGTTCATCTCACCGTGCATCTTGTTGCTCTCAATAAAAGTTTCATCTTCCTTCAAATTTGTGCGAGGGTTCCTGATGTGGGTCCTGATGTTTTCATCCAGGTACCTGCAGGAGAAGATGATGACAGCAATGATTTGAACTCATCAAGCACAACACAAGAAAAGCTCAAATGAATAAAGTCATCCCTACACTCATCAATTCATCCTCTTTCTTTCATCCCTGCACTCATCCAGTCATCCTCTTTCTTTATATTCAGACTCACCAGCTTTCATTCTCATCAAAAACCAGGAAAAGCAGAGCGAACTCTTCTACTTCTTTCTTTAGTCCCAGAGTCCTGGAGGCAAATTAATGAAACAACACGTCAGCATTTCACTGTAATTATAAAGCTTAATAACACAACACAGAGTAAACTGCATAACCACAGCAACAACTTAACAATACGGATCCCTTCATAATGTAGAAAATCTCACCTGCCCCAGCTACGGCGACAAATCACCAGCGAACCAATCAGCCCGCTGTACAGATCCTTGAGGGCAGGAAAAAATATGTCAATGCCTGTGTGTGTGTGTTTTTAATAGTGTGTGTGTGTGTGTGTGTGTGTGTGTGTGTGTGTGTGTGTGTTAACGTACCTTGACAACATCCACAGTGGAGTAGTAGGCTGACACAGAACAATCCTCCTGCTCTGTGGTGGGGCCCGTGTTCTTCGTAACGTACCAGGTGTAAGTGTGAGTCTCACCTGGGAAACACAATTACATTTTCATTAAAAAACATAGTTACACACAGTCACAGTCAACAGAGCTGAGACAAACCAGGATTTAGGAATTAGGTCATTTTGTTATGCTGCAAAAAGTAAAGTCAATACTGATCAAATGAGAAGTTCTCACAGTTAATAACATTTCCTCTCACGACAACAGAAAGGAGTTTATCAGGAAAACATTTGCAATCCAAGAGATTTAAGTTGATTGGACTTTGTCTGGTCGAGCTCATACAAAGACAGACAAGAAGAAAATACACATACTCTGATGAAAACACAACCTCTTTATTTGAGGTAATGAATAAAACCATTGTTTTAATAAATGAATCAAATATTAAGATGAATTGAACCTCAGCATATAAAATGTAGCCCATGAATGAGACACTAAAACCTGTGGGCTGATATTCAGCAGCGATTATCAGTCCACAAGATCAGTTATAAGGAAATCAACATCCTGTCAGCTGACATCCTGCCTGTGTGTACCTGGTTTGGTGTGGTAGACGTCAGGGGTCTCTGTCTTGACTCCATGGGCGTGGATAGAATAAGGTCTGGACGCCATGTTCTTAAAAACCACATTCACTTTGTCCCCAACATCAGCATGAATCATCGGACCTGAGAGGAAGGAAAGAACCAGGTCACGCTACATGATGTCTAACTTCCCACAGTCTCTTTACTGTGAGGTATAACTTTAACTGTGCTGTGTTTTACGTCAGATCAAAGTTCTGTCCACTTTCACATGGTTGAGAGCCTACCCATAACTCCCAGGTGTTTCATATCGGCCGCTCTCTCCACCTGCGTGGTGAATTTGTTGTTGGTGAACTGGCGGTACACCACCTTCTTGTAACGGGAGCCGATGAATCCACCCTGCTGGTCCAGGAAGACAGGGGCGGGGCTACAGAGGGACACAAGTCATTTCATTTTAACAAACAAGACTCGAACATGGGAAAGATGTGTTGGGGACTATTAATACTATTAAGCTCTAATGACTATTCACAGCTGAACCACTCAAAATAATATATGTGTTCAGGGCAATGACGAAGCATCCAGCGTAACAGATACACAACATTAGTAGTACTAGCTTGGTAAAGTACTATCCATACTTTTCGTGGTTTTGGAACATCTCGTTCTCCCAGGTGCGGTTGGGTGAGTAGTCCCAGTCTGTTTCCATGGCAGCGATGTAGAATGTTTTTGAGTGGAGCATAATCTCACCCTGACGCTGTAAAAAGCTGCACTTCTCTACGGTGTAGTTGGCTCTCATGCCGCCTTGATAATGTATCACTGTAGGAGACACCACCTCAAAGTGACCTGAAACACACACACACACTCAAAGTTGAAACCCAACAGGGGACCATTCTGTGTGGAGGTTGCATGTTCCTCCAGTTTCCTCCAGGTTCTCTCAGACATGCAGGTGAGTTTAATTGGAGACTTTTAATTTATAACCAGCAGGTGTTTCTGTGTCAGATCTGTCCAGGATGTGTCAGCTGGGAATGGTTCAAGCTGCGTGACCCTTAAAAAGCATGGGTGGTATATGTATGTATGAATGAAATATTGAAGTAAAAAGATTTCATTGTGTATGTGTGACGACCAATTTGTGTTTTTCACACTTTTCTTAGCGCTGATGTTTCAGCTGGTTCCCACTTTTTCAAGCGAGGTGGTTTCAGTCTTGAAGTTTTTTAGTGTTGGATTTGTTTGGGGCTTGTCGGGATGGGACTCATGATTTTTCCAGGAATCTACATAATAAAAACAAGTTTAAAAAGTGTAATTATAGTGCATTAATTGACTGGGTGGAGACAGAGGGAGATGTATACCCATGCTGTCCGGCTCCATCGTGACAGTGTGCGAGATGTGAGGGAAAACACTGATGGAGTCTCGTCTGTTCTGGCGATAGAGGAAGCGGTTTCCCTGGAAGTAAAGGCTGTTGATGTCCGACTCCGAGCCGAGTCCCGACAGGTGCCACGTTACTTTATCCCCCTTGCACATGGTCAGGCCGGGGAGGTTCCTGTACACAAACCCATTGATGGCTAAAAAAAGCAGAGCACAGAAAAAAAACATCTGTTCAAAATAAGCCATGATAAAACAACTATGTTCCTCTCTTCAGCACAGAAATGAACGGGTACAGGTAATAATCGAGATCAGTGTGTGTCTCCCACGAACCGTGCATCTTGTTGCTCTCCATGAAGCCCTCATCCTCCTTGTTTACAGAGGTGGCAGGTGTGGTGAGGGTCTTGATGTTGTCATCCAGGTACCAGCTCAGGTTCTCGTCAAACACCGTGGCCATGAGGTGGAACTCCTTCTGATAGTTTTTCTACACGAGGAGACGAGAGAACTTGTCAAACCTTTCTTTTGTTAATGTCACTGTGTTGGTCACTTGTAAAGTTGTAAATTGAACTTATTTCTTCACTTATTCACTCAGCAACACGATCATTACTTTGGACTCTGTGTCTAATTCATCAACATCAGCTCAATGTTCACCTTCTTTAAACAACGTTGTGGTTTCAAACAACTACTCAGGGAAAGATTTTTGCTGTTTTGGCTGCAAAGTCAGTTTTAAGAGCAATGAAAAGCTGGAAAGGGCTTTTAACAGGCTTTATATTTTACAATTTGAAAGAAAAAACATAAGCAACTAATTTCATCTATTCTGCATTGTTTATTCTATAAAATAAAAGTCTTCATATCAGCTGATTTTCGTTAAACTGATGGGGCTGTAATATAGAGTCATGGTGATTGCTTTTCTGGTTTGACAAAGAATTTGTCCGAATTCAGTCAGAATTCAGATGTTAAATTTGCAACGAACTGACTATGAATTAGCACCTGGTATAAACTCTTTTTTTTTTGAATGAGTGTTATTTCAGATTTAGAAAACAGTGCACTGCCTACTTTGAAAATAATTATTACTAATAAATGTTAACCGTCTTCTGAAGTGGACATTTCTTAAGATTCAACGCTGTGTGATCTGCTCATTCTGTCATTACAACAGGAAACACAGTTTACAACTTTTTAAAAAGGAAGTTTCAGGAACTTGAGGACGTTTTATTGCTCTGACTCTGTCCTCACCTGTACTCCTTTTCTCAGTGATCCCTGTCGACAGACCAGGAGGGGTCCCGCGAGTCCTGAGTTGGTGTCTTTAACAGGGTCCACTCCAGAGTAGTAGAGGTACGTGAGACAGTCGGCCTCCCCCTGAACCGGACCAGCACCCACCGGCACCATCCACTCGTAGGTGTACACCGTCCCAGGTCTGACCAGAGCAGCTGGTGGAGGAGTCACTACTCCTGAAGTACCCAAAGGAAGAGGACCTTTAGAATGAAAATGTTTTTTGTAGGTAAGAATTAAAGACTTGAACTCACTTGTCTCCCTCCTCAGCTCCCTCAGTTTCTTGGCTGTATAAGACTCTGAGGAAGAGATGGATGAGGGAGACATGAACACAGATGAAGAAGCTCTCTAGTGATATATCATCTCATGCACTGATAACCAAGTGTGCACATGCATGTATTTACCTTCCAGTTCATTGTGATAGAGCGTCCCATCCTGTTCTATGTTGTACTGAACACCGTGTGCTTGTATGGAGTACGGTCGGCTGGCTTTGTTCTTGAAGACCACCTTGATCGTGTCCTTCTCTTCAGCTCGCAGCACAGGACCTGCAGACGGAGACGGACCGGGACAGGAGGTGGAAACTTAGGACAGAGCCCCTCAACAGGACATTGTGTTAGGAGACATCTTAAGTGAAGTCACATAATCCACACAGCAGGATAAAAACAAGATCCTGGTGACATGTGATGTCTAAGCCTCAGTCCGTCTGAAATATGAATAAAACGATTCTCATGGAAACGTTTTATTTTCATTCACTTGTGGATGATTAGACAATTATTTTACCTAAACTGCTGAAGAAATTAGACAATTGATTAGTTCATTGACAGATAAATAACTGAAAGCTTCTCCTCTGAGGCCAGTTTAACTTGGAAGATTAAAAACAATCTAATGTGCTATTTTATTATAGATTAGAAGATACCATAGATAATGGATATTTTTAAATTTAGTTACAGTGGTTTAAATAAATAGTCAAGAAAAGGAAAAGATAAAAGTAGAAACTATTTTAAAAAACATTAGTCCACTTGAGCTCTGACTTATTTTTCCCTCAACTTAAAATCACATCACGTGGCACCACAATAACAGCCTGGATTACCCAGAATTCCAAGGTGTTGCTCTTGTGGGGTGCGTAGCATCTTTGTGAGGAAGGTGTCGTCAGTGTATTCCACGTAGCGAACCTTCTTGTAGCGGCTTCCAATGCGGTTTGGACCTCTGGTTACAAACATATCTGCCTCACTGCACACACACAAAAACACACACATGTCTGAGCAACCAGTGTGTGTGTGTGTGTGTGTGTGTGTGTGTGTGTGTGTGTGTGTGTGTGTGTGTGTGTGTGTGTGTGTGTGTGTGTGT